TGATTTAAAGCAACTTTGAAGGGCACCCCAGCCTTAGAGCATCCCATTGGATCAACTAAGACCTCAGTTGCTATGGAGTTGTAGGCAGCTTCTCTTGCCTCATCCTGCCTTCCTCACAGATGAGATGTCTCCAAAGAGCATTCCCTGATATTCAGTTCTTCTGAAATAACTCCACCAGAGTGTGCTTCCTGGGAATCCAATCTAAGATTATAGATAGTAATAAAAAGTTTCCTTCCCATGATCTGGAATTACTGCTAAGCAGCCTCTGAAAGGGTAAAAAACTATACTCTAGGTTGAAAATACCCATGGAAATTATGCCTAGTCACTTTCCTGCAGAACTTACTGAGAGAAAACATTTCAGAGAAGAAACTCAAACTGCCCTGACTACTATAAGGGGAAGAAAGGAAGAGAGGAGAATTGCTGCTTGGAGAAAGCAGCTTTCAAGGTAACACTATTTTTTGAGACATAAGACTAGGATTTCTTCCAGCCATCAAGAACAAGTCAGGAAAGCACAAGGACATTGCTGGTAAATTTTGATGGGTGCTAGAACAGTCACCCGCCCCTTCTCTAATTTAGGGACTGGTGATGGCATCTGAAGCATGGCAGCCACTGACCTTGCTGGGTGCTGAGGCTGATGACTCATGGAGAAAGGGGCAAGCCAAAGAGACAACCACAGTGTCACAGCCTGCGTTTCCCTTATGTAGCAGGCCAGGGTATGCGAGTTTCCTGGTAGCTGAATAAGCACAAAGCAAGCAGCTGGCCTGTGAGCCCTTTTGTTTTTATTCATCCAGCAGAACCGTCCTCAAACTGGGAGAATCCTACCATGTGAGGTGGATTTCTTATTCCAGAGACACTGGAAAATCCACACTTGTACCCAAGAAAGAGTCAGCCTTTGGAAAGGAGTGTATGTAATGATCAGTCAGCATGAAAAGGCTACACTCCAGCAATAGCATGTGTGTGGGAAGATTTCTACCTTTTTTCATCTGTCTCTTGGTCTCATCATTAGAGAAGAACACAGAGAAGCAAGAAAAGGAAGCATATGAGTTTCCCTCCACTTTAGCCACTAGAGCTGCAAAGAGGTCTTTACTGAACCAAGATTCCCTCATAAGCCTGGTAAATATATATGAGGGAGGGCCCCAAAACCTGGAATTTACTTATAAAAAACTGAATATTTATTTCTATATGTTTAAACTTCAGTCATCTTCAAAGGACTCTCGGTCCTTTGAATACGATACACCTATCGAGATGCTCTTTCTACTGCTCAAAACAGTTTTTGAACTTATCCATTTTGATATCTTTGAGACCTTCTGCCGTTTTTTGCTTCACCTCTCTCACATTGGCACAATGTTTCCCTCTTAGAGAATTTTTTTCATCTGAGGAAACAAGAAAAACTCTCTCAGGTGAATAGGGAGGGTGGAGCATGGGGTCATGCTGCTTTTGGTAAAAAACCACTGAACACTCAGTGAAGTGTAGGCAGGTGCACTCGTAAATCATTCATCATGAAATGGACAAACGCATAGAAATAATCTCCAAAAAAAATTCACTGAAGTCAAATGCAGTCTCTCACAAAAATGCTAGCTGGTACGCTGATGCCAATAGTTTCCAACACTTACCTAGTGGAGAGAAGCCTGTACTACACAGATCCCGCCCTCTAAAAAATACTTCCATTTTTTTAGGGGTCCCATCTTCAATAAATATTTGTTTAGAAACTACATGTTATACTGTGCTAGGTGTTAGGAATACCGTAATGAGTTACAAAAATGTGGTTCCTAAATATATGGAGTTATGTAGAGTCCTCTGTCTCTTTTTGCCTGTCTTTGTTTTTGAGTAAATGCTCTTTCTTTCTCCAAGAGACTAGTATCCTAAGAAAGTTAAGGCATCATTATTTCATTAATTACTATTTATTTATTATTTTTAAATCACAAATAAAACTCATCCAGAACACATTTTGGGAAGCAAAGAGAACAACTGCATTTCTTTCTTCAAGGACTATACATGAAAGACTTGCCAGCATTCCTTTCTCAACCACATTTCCCAAAGCTTAGCTCTTGGCTATAAAAGTTCACTCCAGTTGAAAATCTGGCAAGTCTGACAGAGAAATCTTCAAATTTGCCAGTTTGGCTGACATCTTTTTGAATAACAAGTAGAGAAATTGAAAAAAAAATCAGAGTGAAATATTATAAATCATGGCATTATACTGGAAGAGAATTCATTTCACAGGATAACAAACCTATAATAAATTAACCATAAAATATGGCAGTTTTTAATACAGGTTTTTGCAAAAGCCCTAAACCTGCATAGAAATATAATATGTAAACAAATAGGTATCAATAAGTGATATAAAAATTCCCTCAATTCTGAGACCCTCAATTCTGTTGAACAAAATTCTTTGAATTATTTATATGATTATTCCTTAGTTTCATAGATTGTTTCAGCCTAGGCAAAAGCAAAAATAAAACAAAAAATTCCTAGCTATATATCTGGACATTTATGGATAAATTATAAAGGCATATCATGAGTATATGGATCAGTTGTACACTTAAACTCACAAATGTGTATGCCTACATAGGGTACTAGAATATATGACAAAGGACATGCTGGAGGCTTTTGTCAGCTTTGTTGAAAATCATTATGGGCAGATGAGATTAAAAGCTTTAATTCTCTCCTATTCACTGATGTGCTTTGTGTAGTTAGGCTTGAATTACATGTCCATAAAGATAGAGACATATTGGGTGTGTAAGCATCATTTTTACGGTAGGCTTGCAGTAGTGGCAACTGAGCAAATTCTACAGAGAAAGCCAATGTAAAATAAATATGGGTTAGGACTATCTGTTGCCAGGTGGGCTTGCAACTGCAGTGGGTTCTGTACAAAGTACAACCACATTCTGCAACCTTGCCGTCTTCTGTGCATTCTGGCAAATGAAAACATTCTGTTGTAACTTCCCACATTCCATATTACACAGTTGGAAAAATTTGAAAATATTATCCTGTCATTCCCATTTGCAAGGACAAATCCATTGTCATGCTATTCCTAAATAACCCTGAATTTGCAAACACTGGTTGAAGTCATGGGATACAAGATCCCCACATTATCATACAAGCACAGAAGCATTTGCCTGGAAATGCCACCCTGATATTGGGGGACACACCAGTAAAGCCCCAGTGACCAAGATTAATGATACAGACACTGAATTCTCAACGTAGCCATGTGTGTTTCCAGCTATCTCTTCAAAAAAGCATTTAGCACAATTCTCTCAACACTCTATAAAATTACTCTGACTATAAAACCTAATTTAGAAGCCATTATATATTGTATTAATAACTTAGAAAATATTTTTAAATGATCTGTGTGCATATGTTTACTTCCATAATTACAGAAGCAAGTCTGAATTCTCTTTAAAATCTTTTTTTTTAAATAGCTGTCAGAGTCATATCACACAGTCCTAAACTTAACCTTTGCTCATCAAAAGTCATTATGTCATGTGCACTGCATATGAAACATATGCCCCAGAATAGCAATGTTGGAGGAAAGGTTTTATCCATGACTTTCTGGTCTTGAAAACACAACTCCCTCTAAAACAGTATTGAGAATATCCACCATAACATCATATTACATCAGAACTGCTTCACCAAAGATGAAATCTCTTAGCACCTAGCAGACTAAATGGAAAAGGAAAACACTAATATTATTGAAGATAAAGAGTCATAGCCATCAGTTAACACCATACTGATTAAAAAACAACATGCACTAATGTTTGAGAATATATAGGAAAAGAAATTTCCTCTATCGACACTTCAAAGACTTTGCAACATCTGGAATCTGGTTCTATACAGAGTATTCCACCAAGATGTATGAATAAAAGGATTTTAATAGGGCAAATAAGATTCAGGTTTCTTACAATATGTTCTCCCTGGAGGGAAACAAATAACACAATGCATCTGACTAACCTTTCTGCACTTCAGCTGCATTAATTAACATTTAGTCATGGATTCCATCTGAGCCAGATGAACTCAGTGCTACAGCTGTTTTCATTGAGGGCAGAAAATATGCTTTCCTATTTTAGATTCCCAGGATTTATAAATCTGGGGAAAAATTTTATTGACTACCTGTGTGCCAGCAGTATTGATAAGAAGTATATTTTATACTCAAATCAATTAACACCTACCCTAGACTGTGATTAATTTCAATATTAAACTGGGTCAGCCAGAGCCAATGATGTAAAAACCACATCCTTGTTTCCCTTTTTCTTACATCGAGGCTGAAGAACTTATGAAAGGCTGAAGATCTGATCAAAGAAGTAGATAATGGCCTTGGAGAAATTGTTGCTGGGTTACTCAAAAATTTAAGTGGAGATCAGGTACACAAAAAGGAAAAGTGCACAAGACTGAGAAAAAATGAACAGATGTTGCAGAAGTTTAGCTGCAGGATTTGATGACTTGGCAAAGTCATCCTCAACTCACATGCCAAACATGTGGAAGTGGTTGGTTGGGAGCAAAGTTGAGGTATAGAGCTGTAGTACTTGGCCAGTCATTTAAAGAGGCTTTTAAAATTTTGTTTTTATAGCAAAGGCTCCTTTATGATCCGTTTTTTGAAGAAATATGTCAATGAATCAGCTGGGCAAAGCATTCTACCTGTAACCAACACCTTGTCAAATTTCTTATCACAAGAGTACTGTGAAATCAAATTTGTTTCCAGTAGACCCATATAAGTGCTATGTCATGACTTCTGGTCAACTCTGATATCTTGTGGACAAATGAAAAACCAATAGTCATCATGTGGTCATGAGGGGGTGTGTGTGTGTGTGTGCATGTGTTGTGTATGTATGCAAGCACATTCATTTGTGCCACTGTATGAACCTTAAATCATTATCTGTATAAATACAAACCAAACTTGACACCTGCCTCTTCAAATTAATGTTTTCAGTCATAATTCAAAAATAATAAAATCAGTTTGACCGTCTTCATCTTTACCAACACAGAATAACAATAATTTAATCTCATCAGAAAAATATCTTACCTGGAATTACTTCAAAAAGGTATTTCCCTGGGTTCTCTTCATTGCAGGAATGTTCAACAACTTTATTTCCAGGCAGGAAAATAGTACCCTGTGAATACAAATGCCAAGACATCAACATCATCAGATAATGATCATATATCATCATTATCATCCTCATCATCCTCATCAGTGAATATCCAAGGTGTGTCCATGACCCAAAATACAGTAATATGTGTGACTCTTTTCTATACCCAATAATCAAAAATTATGTTAATAATCATATTATAAGAATCATATTAATTCAAGATTTAACAAGTACTTACTGAGAATCTAATATGTATAAGACTAATATGTATGTTAGTGGCTAGATTCATGTTAAGCACCAATTTATTTACTTATTTATTTTGTTTTGTTTTTGTTTTTGATTTTTTGAGTTGGAGTCTCACTCTGTCACCCGAACTGAAGTGCAGTGGCCGCTCCCGGCCACCGCAGCCTCGACCTGCTGGGCTCCAGCGATCCTTCCGCCTCAGCCTTCCGAGTAGCCGGAATTACAGGCACGCGCTACCATGCCCGGGCGGTTTTTTGATTTATTGTAGAGATGAGGTCTCGCTGCCCAGGCGGGTCTCGAACCCACGGGCTCAGGCAATCCACTCACCTCAGCCTCCCAAAGGCGTGGGATTACAGGCTGAGCCACCGAGCCCGGCTGTTTTGGTTTTTTTGAGTTGGAGTCTCACTCCTTCGCCCAGACTGGAGTGCAGTGGCCGCTCCTGGTCACCGCAGCCTCGACTTGCTGGGCTCCAGCTATCCTTCCGCCTCAGCTTTCCAAGCAGCTGGAACTACAGGCACGCGCTACCACACCCGGCTAATTTTTTGATTTATTGTAGAGATGATGTCTCATCAAGTTGCCCAAGCAGGTCTCGAACCTGCGGGCTCAGGCAATCCACTCATCTCAGCCTCCCAAGGCGCGGGATTACAGGCTGCGCCACCGAGCCCAGCTAGTACCAATTTATTAAACACATTCTGTGTGCCAGAAATTTTACTGAGCATTCCACAGACCTCATATTATTTAATTACTAGGATAATCCTATGAGGTATTTATAGCTGTGAAAACAGGACTGAAACATTTTCCCATTTTATAGCTGTGAAAACAGGGCTGAAACATAAAGTAATTCAGCCAAAGTTGTGGTAGGCATTCTCACGATTATCCCTTCTCTTCTCTTTTAGGTTTCTTTCTCTTTAGCAGATCATTTCTATCACTACTGAGACATATTTAAGTCTATCTCATTAAAAAATTACTTTGTAACTACTGCTTCAGTTGTTGTTCTATTTTTTTTCTTGCCTAGCAAAGAGTTGTCTATGTGAAATATATTTCCTCATATGTAACCACCACAGCCTGGTTTATGCACCTGGTAACTCCACTCACAAGCTGCATGCCTGATAATGTTCAATCCTTCTTGAGCCTGACTTCTCAAAAACTTTCATCACTATTGACCACTCTCTCTTGAGGCAACTCCTTTCCTTTGTTTCTTGGTTTTCTCTAGATTTTTCCCTCACTTCTTTGTTGCTGTGTCTCTTTTGCTAATTTTAATCCATCTTTAAATATTTGCATTTTTTGAAATCTTTAGTCAATGATTCTTCCTCTTCTGATTCTAGTACTTTCTTTCTCCAGGTTATCGCATCCATACCTATGACTTCAATAAGCAACTATATAGCCCAATGAATATCAGATTGATGTTTCTAACCAGGACTTGCTGAGCTTCAGACTTTTACATCCAAAAGCTTACTTGGCATTTTCTTTTTAACATTTTTTATTTGAAAGATGTGGGGTACAATTCAGGGTTATGTATACAAATTGTTCATTATGCAGGTACCCTTGTTGACGAGGTGTGCCTCTCCCTCCCCCAGCAGATTCCCACTACTGCCAATCCCACCCCTCTACCCTCCTCCAGCACACCCCTCTCTTCCCTGGCAGTTTTCTACTACTGCCAATCCTTTTCTCATAGTATTGTGATAATTGTTCAAGATCTGCTTATGAGTGAGAACATGAGATATGCAGTTCTTTGGCTCTGTGATAGATCACTCAGTGTTGTAGACTCTAAGGCCATCCCAATTGCTGTGAAGTTCACAATTTTGTCCTTCTTTATGGCTGCATAATATTCCATCATGTATATGTACCACATTTTTAAAATCCAGTCTTCTTTTAGTGGGCAACACATTTGGTTCCATGTGTTTGCTATTGTGAACAATGCTGCAATAAACATACATGTGCAGGTATCTTTTTCATAGGATGATTTGAATTCCTCCAGATATATTCCCAGTAGGGGGATTGAGGGGTCATATGGGAGGTCAGTTTTTCATTTGGATCTCTCAAGCATCTTGAACTCAATCAACTTAGTCAAATTAAAATGCAAGTAAATCTGGTCCTCATTATGCATTTCCTAGTTCAGTAACTGGTACTCTCTTCCATTCAGCTACCAAAGCCTCTCTTGTTTGAAGTGTTTCAAATACCCCTTCACTGAATTCTCCACAATACTCTAACATCTTTCAATCAATTTTTTTTCTTATTCCAGCTAGAGTGTCTTTAAACACAAAACTTTGATCTTGCAACTTTCCTGCTTAAAAGTCTTCCATGGCTTTCATTTATTTTAGAATAAAGGTGAGTGGTTTGGCTCTAAGCTAATTTCTCTAACTGCTCTTCTGTCAATGGCATGATGTTCTTGTCTACCTTAGGATGGCATTATCCCTGGATATTTTATACCATTTTAGACTTGGCTACATCTAAAATATACTTGCATAGGTTCCAGAATTTTTCCTGGACTGATTTATCAGTGTATATAACTATGTTGTTTATAAGATTATTTGATTAATGTCCATCTCCTTCATTAAATTGTAAGGGAGCAAAAATTATATGTACTTTGATCTCAGCTTTACCACCAGTGCCTAGCAAACTTGCCAGGCATATAGTTAATGTTTAATGAAGTGCATTGTTGAGTGAATGAGTACTATATACGTAGTAAAGCCAGTATTCATAACCAAGCATGCTGGACCCAAAAACCCATGCTCTTGTCCACTATATTTTATTGTCCATTTTTCCCAGCTTGAAGCAATATTTAGCTAGAGTTAGAATTTTACTCTATTTTCATCCTATTTGGTTATACAGAAAATTATAGTCATCAACCAATTCCCTCCTTCTGGGCTTACAGTGATAAAGCATGGCACTCCATAACTAAAACTCAAGGAATTGTAGCTTAGAGCTATCCGTCTCCTCCATGCCTTACATGGTGAGGTATTGAAGGAACTTCCTTTGTGATTCTGTTCTGGGAAATAAATTTTCAGTCTTTTCATTATATTTACTTTTCTCTGGCCTATGGATCCCATTTCGTTTATTGGTATCTTTTAAATATTTAAAAAAATACTAACTACTTTGATTAATCACTATATGTAATTATGTTATTTTTATTTTGTATTTTATTTATTTATTTTTGAGTTGGAGTCTCACTCTGTTGCCCAGACTGGAGTGCAGTGGCTGCTCTCGGCCACCGCAGCCTTGAACTGTTGGGCTCCGGCGATCCTTCCACCTCAGCCTTCCAAGTAGCCAGAATTACAGGCATGTGCTACCACGCCCGGCTGATTTTTTTGATTTATTGTAGAGATGAGGTTTCGCTGCCCAGGCGGGTCTAGAACCCGCGGGCTCAGGCAATCCACTCACCTCAGCCTCCCAAAGGCGCAGGATTACAGGCTGAGCCATCAAGCCCGGCTTAATTCCATTATTTATAAGATTATTTGATTAATGTCCATCACCTCGATTAAACTGTAAGGGAGCAAAACATTACATAATCCATCGTAATTAAGACCTTTCATTACATAGGTTTACTCTCTGTGGTTTCTAAATAAGGTGGGAAAATTCATTGATTCCATTAAGAGTTATATAGTTTGCATTTTTTGTCCCCTCCAAATTTCATGTAATCACCAGTGTTGGAGGTGGGGTCTAGTAGATGGAGATGGCGAGTCTCTCATGAATGGGTTGGTGCAGTTGTTGAATGGGTTGGTGAAGTTAAGTTCTGTTAGTTAATGGGAAAGTTGGTTGTTTAAAGAGCCTGGCACCTCCTTTTTTCTCTCTTGCTCCTTTTGTCATGCCTGCCTGCTTTCTCTCCACCTTCCATCATGATTGTAAGCTTCTTGAGTTCACACCAGAAGCCCAGAAGATTCTAGTGCCTTGCAGAACTGTGAGCCAAAATAAACCTCTTTCCTTTATAAATTACCCAGCCGCAGGTATTTCTTTATAGCAATGCAGACTAATATAAACAGTGTATTCTATTTACTGAAATGACTTTGTGAAGTAATTCAATGTATAATTTATCTTGGTTTTAGAACATAGCATCTAACCTTCCAGTTAATATGGTATTCATTTTAAGCACATACATTATATTTGTATGTGTATGTATATGACTCCCATTTAATTATATGCCTTCATGCTCTACTTAAAATCTTAAATTTTACATGTGTCATGTAAGTTGAACTCAAGCTACTCTTCTGCATAAATGATGAAATTCCAAACTACCTCACTTGAAATTAAAAGATTCCAAGAAATGCTATTCTTTGTTTTCTTCTTTGGACATATGAAATAGCTACTTCTGGATTAAATTTTTGTTTTCATTTTTAAATTTGACATTATACAAATTTTGTATTTTGTCAGTTATGATATAAATATAACAGTTTAAATATCAATAGACAATGTTTAGGGTAGGCTATACTGTAATTGACAAACATTTACTGTGGTTAATTCACTGAGTGATTCAGTACATAAAATAAAGTCATTTAATTAAAATAACTAACTCTCGATCATCTTGTACGGAAATCATATAAAGTCTGTAACTAAGGAAAATGTCTTAATTGTGACAATTATTTTTCAAGGAATTTAGCAATGTTTATATTGTCAGAAAATGAAGGTAAATGAACAAAAATCTGTACTGTATCTATCTTAAGTAAACAATGTTAACACCATGCATATCTTTGTATACTTTTATGTATTTATGCATATGTATATATAAACATATAGAGCAATGTTTACAAAATAATGTTCAAAGTAAAAAGGCATTTGCTATCTGC